AGAAAACCGGGCAGGGGGAGACCGCAAAGAAAACCAAACAGCGGAAGTCCGCAAAGAAAACCGGGCAGGGGGAGACCGCAAAGAAAACCGAGCAGGGAGAGACCGCAGAGAAAACCGGGCAGGGGGAGACCGCAAAGAAAACCAAACAGCGGAAGTCCGCAAAGGAAACCGGGCAGGGGGAGACCGCAAAGAAAACCAAACAGCGGAAGTCCGCAAAGAAAACCGAGCAAGGGGGGACCGCAAAGAAAATCGAGCAGGGGAAGCGAAGCCGCCAAAGAAAACGGAGCAGGGTAAGTCCAAGTCCGCAAAGGAAACCCAGCAGGGGGAGATCGCAATGATGAAAGACGCCAGGAAAATAAAGTGAAGTGGAGCCCAGAAGCCTACGCCAGAAGGGGGGCCAAGTTTACTGTCAGGTAGTGGCGTAGCACCTCCCTTGTTAGTTTCTATTTTCCTTAAATTGGTGGCTTGGGTCGCTCTTCGTACTTATTCAAGTTTCGTAGTGCTAAGGTAGCTCGTAAACCCTTAATCAAAACTTTCTCATATACTTCTATTTGTATGGCTGTGCGTCTCACTTATTATTTGGCATGAAGCTTCCAACTTCTTGTGTATCCTAGCCGAAATTTTTTTTCGAGTCTGTGCGATCCTCTCGCCGGCAGGTTTTTGTTTCCTTAGTTTGTTATTTCTTGTTGAGACTTCGCTGTTGGCATTCTTGTTAACTAAAGAACTGCGTTGTCAGCCATCCCACTAACTACGCGCCAAGGAGTAAGATCATCACTAATCAAAGACAGCGCGGAGACTTCTTTTTTCTTATACATCCTACTACAGCCACTACTACAGCGACTACTTATGATCCTACTAAATCCTACTACAGCCACTACTATCTTACTACACCCTACTACAGTTATTTCTTCTTATACATCCTACTACTATCCTAGTAACGACAACTCCTATGACTGAAATTTGGAATACTTCTCACCTGGGTACATACTAGCTCTCTGGAGTGGCCCCCCAGGGGCAGGCGTCAAGGGAATTTCAAAGAATTTGCTAGAAGGATGAAACTCAAAATTCAAAATCAAAATTCAAAGTTCAAAGTTCAAAGTTCAAAGTTCAAAATTCAAAATTCAAAGTTCAAAGTTCAAAGTTCAAAGTTCAAAGTTCAAAGTTCAAAGTTCAAAATTCAAAATTTAAAATTCAAAATTCAAAATTCAAAATTCAAAATTCAAAATTCAAAATTCAAAATTCAAAATTCAAAATTCAAAATTCAAAATTCAAAATTCAAAAGCAAAACTCAAAAATCAAAATCAAAATCAAAACTCAAAATCAAAACTCAAAACTCAAAATCACAATCAAAATTCAAAATATGGAATCCAAATATGAAAGCAAAATCAAAACTCAAGGCATAAAGCGCCCTAACCTCAAAACTCTGATCCAAATTTCAAAACCTTGATCCAATGTTGAGAACTTTGCTCCAAATTTCAACACTTTGATTAAAATCTCAAAACTTTGGCCCAAATTTCAAAACTTTGGTTCAAATTTCGAAGCTTGATATTCAAAACTCAAAATTCAAAACTCAAAATTCAAAATCAAAACTCAAAATCAAAATTCAAAATCAAAATCCAAAACTCAAAATCAAAATTCAAAATCAAAATTCAAAATCAAAATTCAAAATCAAAACTCAAAATCAAAATTCAAAATCAAAATTCAAAATCAAAATTCAAAATCAAAATTCAAAATCAAAATTCAAAAGCAAAATTCAAAACCAAAATTCAAAACCAAAATTCAAAACCAAAATTCAAAATATGTCATAAAATCAAACGAGGGAAAAACTTTATACTGTAAGAGATTTATATGAATTATTTGCAAAGGCCGCTGAAGTAGCAACTTCGAAATTCGAAAATTGAATGCACAGGACGACACCTAATACCGAAGAGAGCCTCCGGGCAGCATTATCGTCGGTTTTGCAGGATAAAGATACCAAGCAGCCGCTATCAGAGAAGCAAAGGAAAAACCAGACGCAGAAGCACTTTGGTAGAAAAAGCGAAGGGGATGCAGATTAACGCCTTTGCATTCATATTTCTCATACTACTGCTCATCAGGAGACATTCGGCCTCGAAGATAGCACAGGCATGAAGTGAAGAATAGAAACTCGGATACTCAAAATAAGCAAGTAACAAAAACAGTAACCGAGTATCTGAGATTGTTCCCTAGCATACTCGGTTACCTCAGTTTTTCGAGTGTTTATACCTAGTCCAAGACACGACCTAACGTTTTGTAGAGCAGCGATAGTGTTGGTTTGGAAGCACTGTTATGGTCCAGGGAGTTGCACTGGATTATCATCGCACATTCTACCCTAAGAATTTTGGATTTTTGAGTCATAATGAAGCATCGCGATCCCGTAGTAAGAAAGTTTTTCCCTATTGAAGAAAATCGTATCCAGGTGAGTAGTTGACCACTTACAAGAGTCCAGCTGTCTCTCTGGATAGCCACGACTACTTGTATGCGTCCATATAAGTAAAAACTTGTATCAGAGTTGTATCAATTGGAATGAAATATACATCGTCCGTTTCAGTCATCAGTTTAAAAAATTATTTTATTGTTAGCTTGTACCGTGTCAACATGGAACGGTCTGAAATTAACTAAAGCGATCAAGAAGGAACCAAACAGGATCAAAGGCCGATCGGTCCGATATGAACTAAGACGATCGGGCAAGATCAAGAACCAAACAGGACGCCTCGTCACGCGTCCACCAAAAAAAACTCCAACATAAAACAGAGAAAATGCCACCGACTTGGTAGCAGTAGTAGAGACATGATTATACTCCAGTATGCTGACCACAGACGCCATATATTATTGCCCACCTATAAAAGAGTAGCGCCATGGAGATCGTGCTGACCTCCAAAGACTGACGCCGTAAAATAAAACAATAGGTAGGAGGGACTACAGTCGCTGACCTTTACGAAGAGAGGCGGCGTCGGCACATGAAAGAATAAAAGGATGGCTCGTGACTCATAAAAAGTAATAGCTACTTAAGGTAGTTCATGATTCATAACAAACTTCATAATTACCATTTCGGAAAGAGATAGTTCATAATCATAAAGAATCTGTGCAGTGAATGAATGATGATGACCATCGAATCTGCATCATCGCCTGTGAAGAACGTCCTAGGGTTATCTGCTACGCGTTTTGAGCCGACCGCTTTGAGAGGTAGAAGCGTGGCTATATAAAATGTCGGTAGTTGTTCATTTTGTTCCTCTCTGAGAGCTCGCTGAGGGCAGGCGTCGCGATGCATCGGTCCTCGCGTGCGACTCAGGCACCGCTCGGTCTAGCTTGGTAGATTCATTTTCGGCCCTTCTCTCTTTGCAATTTCGGATGTACTCCTGGATTGGGTTCACTACTAACGCTACTGTAGTCGTGCGGAATGCTCACCTCTCTGCAGGCAAGCCAATTCCTATCATGGTCCTCTTTCTTTTGGGATAAGAGATGTACCGGAAACGAAACGAGAGATGGATTGGAGACGAAAGTAGTATCAAATCATCATTTTTTAGAAAAACAATTTGTCGTTCCTCGACATAAAACACAACCTGCACCACCTCCCGCTAGGCACATTCATTCACTTACTCAATGCGAAGAAGTTTTTCATCTTTGACGAGGAGGAGGGAGAGATGTACCGGGAAAAGAAGATGAGACTAAGCACCCCAAAAGATACGGGAGAGGAAAGTGAATTACAGGAGTCTCCAAGGAGGGGATAGTGAACTACAGGAGTCTCGACTAAAAGTTACTCTATGCAACAAGGTATTGATAATCTACAAGTGCAATCAGGCTAGTTATGATCTTAGAGCAGGAGCCACCTCAGCATGTCTGCCTCATCTTGAACAGAGGGCCCCAACCTAGCGACCTAACAACGACCAGCAGATGAATTCAAATACTACTACTGCACTAACCTCCTAGCCTCTTACTACTACTGATCTTACTACTACAGCGTTCACCACTACTAGGCTGGCCTATACAGGCAGACTGGATGTTTGTGCTCGCCTCTGAACTTACTAACTAGGCTGGTCTATGCAGGCAGACGGGATGTCTATGTCCTCGCTTCTGGACTTACCACTAGGTTCAGGAAAGCACAGGAAAACAAGGGCATCCCTCCAATGAGCTAGTTGGAGGCCACACGCGTTGTTCCTTCCACACGCGTTGTTCCTTCATCATCTGCAATCTGAGCACTTTTGGCTCTTAATTTTAGTCTAGGACGATGGCCTATTATGCATTGTTAGAGGCCGCCCGCATTGTTGTAATCTAGTAGTATGGCCTATTACGTACTGTCGGGGACTGCGTTTTAATATTTAACTAGAAGCAAGTATGGCCTATTACGCATTGTTGGAGGCCGCACCGGATGCGAGCGAGGCGTTACTACGGAGACAATACAAAAAATTGGCGAGGCAGAAACACCCAGATAAAATCCAATTTCAGAATGATTACGGTTGAAGACAACAGGCTCTGATGAAAATAATTTGTGTTCATCTGCAGACGCGACTAATGCGTATTATTCTCCCTCTAATACTTCGAGAACAGGGTCAGTAGCGTATGATGGGAGCGCTTAGCCACGTATTCATGATCTGACTCTGAATTGAGAATTTACTATTTTCCCCGATGAAAGGTATTTGATTTACAGATTTAGATGCATATGATGTTGAACTAGTAGTAGTTGTACTTGTACTAGAGTCAGATATAGATTATAGCTACAACGAACCTGTAGCGCTCTAAGGTGAAGAGAACACGACCACGGAAAACACGACAGTGGAGGAAGCAACTGCGGCTTTTCAGAAGTTAAGCATGTCTATTCTTCGCGGATACAGGTATTCCCTGTGAGGTTTTCCCTGTGGACGGCGAGTAACTTCCTATCCTATCCTATTGCTAGCTTGTATGGTATGCTATGAATGTGCCCTGTGTGGGGTATGGCTCCTTAGGCAGTGAAGCTGGGACGGCAACGCGGATCAATCACATGACATAAGTGCCAGTGCTGATTGAGCGAGTGACATTGGTAGAGCAATCAATTGACAGAGTAAAAAACTACTTATACCGGTAGGGGGGAAGTATGTAGGCCTAGATGGAAAAATAAGTCAGCGCAAATACCTCTGTTACGATACTGATTGAGTGAGTGACATTGTGTAGAACAATCGCCAAGCTCCATTGGTTCGACCAATGACGAAATGAGTGTACTACGAAGATGAAGCGGCTGTAGTATAAAGTAAGTTAAGACTTTTACATCAAGCATAAGGCTAAGGTTGGAGCTTTTACATCGTTCATGAAAGTTAAAGCATGCATACGAAGTGTTGATGAAGCCCGCGCAACGTCGACTGTACGATCACTTATTGCACTTTGCGGGTGTGGATTTAAGGCCTAGCAAAGTAGATAGACTGTAAAGTAAGTAATCGTCCAATGTCGACTACGCCCGTGTACGGGGAGACGAAGTCGCGCCCATGTAATGTAATGTAATCGTTCAGATAGCCTAGTAAAATGGGCTACTCCTGATGTCTTATCGAAATTTTTTATATTACTACCACTACCTGGTGTCTCTCTTTCTCTTAGGGTCGTTTAGGGTGCGGAAATCGCTGCCCGGTCGTGTCTTGGGCACAGACTAAGACAATCACTACCTAGAAGACTAGGACTTAGAAATGGACTAGGACTTGGACTACTGCGTCCTAGATTAGGGCCAGATGTCAATGACTACCTGATGTCTTCGACTACAGGATGATCCTGACGCCAACTTTGGAAAGAATCCGCCAACTTTGGAAAGAATCCTGAGGGCACTAGCTTCTCTGCAGCGGTGGCCGTTGTGCTTCATCGTTTGTCCGTTTTAGGTGCCTGGCCCGTTGTGCTTCAGGCTTCTCGCAGGGTAATTGAGGGCTCGGATCGCGAGAAATATAGACCCAGGCACCGAAAAAAAATGTTAGGTAAGTTGTGAGTGAGTGAATGAATGACTGAATCAGAAACCAAGGCGGGAGAACAAAGCTCGCTTGTGGGTGGGAGTAAAAGACTAGTTACTCAGGTCGTGAAGAGAACACGAACTCAACCAGGGATAGCGATTGACTGGCGTTAATGTATGCAGCCGAAGAGGATGGCACGCTGGTGGAGATCTACGCAAGGCACCTACAGTTACGGAGGAAGTAAATGACGTAATCTTCAAAAAAGTTAAATGGATAGCACGAACGTCATCGGCGGTGAGTGCTAATCCAATAAAGCTGGGATTAATCCAACAAAGCTACGCTAAGAAATACGACGCCGATAAAAGCTAACCTGAGAGCAAAGCACTACACTGAGAAATATGTGGAGACGCGGTAAAATACAGTTGTATGCTCTCTACTCAGCTTCGGTAATTTTTCAGTATGGTCGGCAACTTTTATTCGTCAGACAAACCAGTAGCAGTCGGCAACCCCTTGTTTTCAGCCGCAACCCCTTGTTTTCAGCCGCAGTAGCTACTGGCTGCAAAACAAAGCATGGTCGGCAACTTGGGCTGCACCCACCATAAATCAATTATGTTGAGTACAACTAAATAAGACTAAGAGTGAAAGATTGATGTTCTAGACCACAGATTTTCTAGCAAGGATGTGGATTCGACCACAGATTTTCTAGCCAGTCTAAGTGGATTCTCTAATGAAGCAGACTGTGTGTGAGACTTCCTTTGTCGAGGAAACTACGGAATTGATGCGACTATGCGAAACTGGGACGGCGTCGGCAGTTGCGCAGGCTCTTGCGCGAGACTTTCCCCTTTGCAAAGGTCGAATCTTTTCAACGGAAGGCTATGGTCTCAATGTATTACATTTCATTTCTACAAGTCGTTTACTCGAATATTCAAAATACGCGAGTACTAACCTACTTGAAATATAAGAACCGCGGCATTGTTGATCTGCCTTATTTGGTACCTCGGTTATTCCAAGGAGTTACTTGCTTACTTCAGTTTTTCGAATACGGTTTTCTCTGTTTCCTTCTCAGGACAGTGAATTGGCAGAATATGATTAAATGAAGGGAACAAGATGAAATGAGCCATGTTTTGCGCTCTAGATGTAGCTTTCACTCATGTCAAGCCCTGTTCTCTCCGCTCCAAAGCTTGTTTTGCTCTCTAATATTATGGTCCTAGAGCGCAGAGGGGCGTGGCTTTCTCTTCAACACCGAATAACGCGAATGAGGACACCATCTACGAGGTTCTGTCGGGTGAAAACGCGACTGGTGCTGCGTCATCGATGGGTATAATACGTAGTAGAAGAGTTCCACAATTCGACCGTCGCAGAAATTGTTTCGTCTTGCCGATGATCAAGCACGGCCATTTTAGACGCATTGATTGATGGCACTTCAGCTCCTACTTCTCTCAATCAAAGAGGAGTCATTACTTACATGATCATAACGTTACGCGTGACAACCTCAGATGCTACGGCTTTCGCAATGGCTTCCATCACAGAACTTTCGCGACAGGAGCGTCAGCTTATGGACATATCGTAATAGGTTAAGGACACGTTGTATGCAGCATGTTGCTACTACGGACTCCCTGTTGCAATAGGTTAATTAGGACACGTTGTAAGTAGCATGCTAGTGCTACTAGTTTTTATTATGATAAAGATTTCTCCCTTATTTAATATTATTGATCTCATTTCTCCCTTATTTACTAATAATTGACCAGTTGTTGTGGGGGATTACCATCTTCAGAACACCAAAATACTACCAGTAATTAAACATCACACCTCTCGAATGGGTACACTACTACTACTACTACTACTACTACTACTACTACTACTACTACTACTACTGCTACTGCTACTGCTACTGCTACTGCTACTGCTACTGCTACTACTACTACTACTACTACTACTACTACT